TTTATAGAAGTAAATTGAGAGCTGGATTAGGATGATCTCTCCATCTGGAAGTGATTGGGATTTTCATCTGCCAGGGGCTTTAGGGCCCCACTAATCTAAGATCATCTGATGTTAGGGATTTTTATATTTATATATATATATATATATATATATATATATATATATATATATATTTATTTATTTATTTATTTTGACCAATCAGATTCCTGGAAGCTGGTCTGTGGTCCATCGGAAGGCTGTTTTACTTTCAATTCACTCTCCTAAGGTATAGCCATTTGGATTTCAAGTGGTAGGGTGCTATCCAGGCTACCAACCTTTGAGGGCTCTGGAATCCAACCTTTGTTTTCCTAGATCCACATGATCACTGAAAACATTTCTCAGTGTCTCAGTTGTCCTTTCCCAGTGTTTCAATGGCTTGAGGGTAAAAGTCAACCATTTGCTGCATGCTCATCCCTCTGGATTTTAGTTTACTTATGTTTCATGACCTGGTATCTTTTCTTTGCCTTCCTTGTCCTCTGATGTTTCCAAGCAGATATTCCTTTATAATTTAGGAGTTTTCATTGTTTTCAGCATAAGAGTTAGTCTGAGTTACTTAGCAATTACAAACTCCTTTTCAAAGCATTTTTTTTAAAGTTATAGGATAAAGGAATTGTGTCAGACCTTGAGAACTCCTCCATCAAATGAATTCATTACTAATTAGTAAAGTAGCTTGTTTTTGTTTAGTATAGTAGGGGTTTACTGACCATTTACCATGAATTCACTATTATGCTATATATATTACGGAAATTTTGAAGAAATACAAGGCACAGCATTTCTTTCATTTGAGGGGTTCTGCTGTGGAAACAAGTATAAACTCAGAAAATGAAAAAGAATATTGAAGGAGGCACTTAAAGGTAATACAGACTTAATGGCTTAGTGAAAACTAAAGGCCTTAAGTGCTGGGTGTGAGCCCTGTCCCCTCCCTGCCCCTGCCCTGTCTCTCCCAGACCACCTTCCTCATGCTGCTCACCCAATCCTGTCTATAAAACTGCAGCTCCCTGGCGCTCCCTCTTTACTGGTATAGCCCTTCAGAGGCTGCTCACTGTCTTCCAGACATGTCTGAGGCCCTTCGGGAGCTTCCTCCCCTGCAACTTCCCCGCCCTGCCTGCCCTACCCTCCAGCTTTCCCCTTCGTGGTACCTGCCTCACATCTTTGCATGCACACTGCCCTCTGCTTAGAGGTTGTCCTTCCCTTTGGTGCGAGGCTAGTTTTTCCAAATTTAGCCTCACGTAGTGTGGCTCTTTCTTGGAAGTCTTCTGTGCCAGCTGAGTCTCTTGTCATCAGGAATCCCAGGCCTCTGCTGGACCACTGATCGGTAACTATTGCCCATGCTTATGGCAGTGACTGTGAGCTGGTGATAACTGCCACCAGGTGTGTAGCCTAGCCCTTACCATGCACCGAGCACCATGTCAAGCACTTCACATACACATAGTGATGCCTGAGGTAGCTGTTACTGTTGTCTCCATTTTATAGGTAGGAAATTGAGGCACACAGAGGCTTCATAGCCAGAAATTATGGTCTTCTGGGCAATGACTTTATCCATGTATCTCTTTCTTCAGTAAGGAAATGGAAACAGGAGCAGGGCCTGAGCTGTGAAGATAAACGTTTGTGGGTGATGATGCCCTTCCTTACCCCCTGGGGCTGTGACTCAGGGTGAACTGCACAACTATAAATGAACCCCTTTGCTTCCTTCCAAAGTAGTAGTTTATTCTGCTGTGAAGGTGCCTGAGACTCTCTTCTGTTCTCTCCTGTCCTGTTTCACTGGGCCTTAGCTGCATCTGCCAACCTAGGCTTCTTGGGGAGTCTCTGGACTCCCCAGTCTGTCTGGGGCAAGGCTTTTTAAATTTAGTTTTGTTGTTTTTAAAGATTTTATTTATTTATTCATGAAAGACAGAGAGAGGCAGAGACACAGTCAGAGGGAGAAGCAAGCCCCATGCAGGGAGCCTGACGTGGGACTTGATCCCGGGACCCCAGGATCACGCCCTGAGCTGAGGGCGGCGCTAAACCGCTGAGCCACCCAGGTGTACCTCGGCAAACCTTTTTGAAATTTACTCTCTAGGATTTAGCTATGCCAGATCTGGTCAAACCTACCAAGTAAACTTCCATCCTGGAAAAGAAAGTCTGTATGTTCCCTCAAATTTCACAGGTGGTTTAACCAAAAAGGGCTCTGATATCTGATAGAATTTTGAATTCATTAAAAATGAAGGTGTAATAACAGCCCTCTTCTACGTTAGGGGGAATGAGTTAGGAAGGGATGTGGTGAGAACCTGAAGACAGCATTTTTAGTAGTTTGTTATAAGTAACTGTAGTAAGTAACACTTCCACCTCCAACCAGTGACACAGCCATACTCATGTTTAGCATTTCATCAGGGAAAAGCCAATTCCAATTAATGGATGGCCTCTGTTTTTAAAATACAAGGTTTAATGTTTAGGACGGTTTTGGATTCACAGAACAACTATGAGGGTACTATAGAGAGCCCCATGTAGCACCCCACACCCCGTCTCCCTATTAATATCTGACATTAGTATGGTGTAGTTGTTACAATTAATAAATATTGCTGCATCACTATTCACTCAAGTCCATAGTTTATTCAGAATTCCTCACATTTTTCCTGCTTTTATCTCTTCCAGGATCCCACTCAGGCTGCCACATTACATTTAGTCATCATGTGTCCTTAGGCACCTCTAGGTTATGACAGTATCTTGGACTTCCATGTTTTAGGTGACCTTGAGAGTACTGGTCAGTATTTTGTAGGATGTCCCTCTATGGGAATTTGGTGTTTTTCTCATGATTAGATTCGGCTTATGGGTTTTGAGAAGGACATCACAGATGTAAAGTGTCATTTTTAAAAACATTTTATTTATTTATTCATTAGAGACACATACACACACACACACACACACACACACACAGAGAGAGAGAGAGAGAGAGAGAGAGAGAGGCAGAGACACAGGCAGAGGGAGAAGCAGGCTCCATGCAGGGAGCCTGGTGTGGGACTCGATCCCAGGACCCCAGGATCACACCCTGAGCATGAAGGCAGATACACTTAACTGCTGAGCCACTCAGGTGTCCCGTCAAGTATCATTTTAATCACACCACAGCAAGCATATATGCTGTCAGCATGATTTGTGACTGTTGATATTGACCCTTGTTAAGGTTGAGGTGATGTTAGGTTTCTCCACCATAAAATTATTCTTTACTTCCATACTGTACTCTTTGGAAGGAAGTCCGTGTGATGCCTAAATCCTCTTCAGCTGATAAGTAAAGCTACTATTTTAAATGTCTTGTACCATTACATATCTTTAAAAACTTTACAAACCAATGTTCTCTTTATAAAAACTTTTTAGAATTATTTCCTGGTATCTTCTAGGTGCCAGTCCCTTGCAAGGACAGCTCATGCCCTGATTATTGGGCGTTTTTTTTTTTTTTTTTTAAGATTTTATTTATTTATTCATGGGAAACACAGAGGAAGAGGCAGAGATACAGGCAGAGGGAGAAGCAGGCTCCTCACAGGGAACTCCATCCCAGGACCCCGGGATCATGACCTGAGCCAAAGGCAGATGCTCAATCACTGAGCCACCCGGGTGCCCCTTATTTATTTACTTATTAATTATTTTATCCGGCGATTTTGAAGCAGTGGATTCCAAGCCGAATAGGAACGCCTGCAGTCTTTGTATTTCCAAGATGCAAGACGCAGGGGCAGACATTTGAAAGGAATCATGACGACATCCCTTGCATTATCATCCTTGCCTCAGTCTCGTTCGTGTATTTGTTCTGGAGGGTCCCGGACTACTCCACGTGTGGCTTTGCACCATGTTTCAGTCAAGTTGCGTTAAGTTTCTACTGAGAACGGGTTTGTAGGGAGGAGCGTCTTTTTTAAGGCAGCTCAGCGCTTCTACTACTCACATACTGAAGCACGGAAGTGGACTTTAAGTGGAGTCAAGCTCGCTTCTGTCCACGTATACCCGAGAGTATTTACGGCCTTTCAAAAGCGGGTAGGTCGGATTTCTGAGTGATCGGAGGACACCAACGGGATTGATCACGGCCGCTGAGTTTTACTTAAGTCACGAGTTAGTTTAAGGTTTAGGAGAAGTAACTGAACATCATCCTGTTCGGGAGGGAACGTTGAACCTGCAGCTCCCCCTGGCGACGAGCCGTAGCAACGCGGGCAGGGCGGCCCCTCGTAAGTATTTGACCTGTCGTTAAACTTGAAAATCGTGGAAAAGAGGTTTTTCTTTTTTCCAAAAATTGCACCAAGGTAAAGCAGAGCTTTAGCTGATGCGGGCGTGTTGTTCAGGCGTTAGCAGTACTGCCCTCACTAGGCGCTCATTGGACAGTAGCGCAACCCCAAGAAAAGGATGGTTGGCGGCAGGCGTGCGTGCGCTGCAAGCCGGAAGCGCCAACACCGGGTAGGGTTGGGGCGACTGATCCGCGGCTCCCGGCCTAGCCGCCTGGTAGCTGGTATACCTACAATGAAGGCGGCTTCCGAAGCAAATCAGCAACTTCTTGTTTTCTGAGGCTTTCGAAGGTGGCGAATAGGCTGCTTGGTTTTACCCAGAAGGCCACGCACCAGCTGCGGGCAATTTGCATACGCATTACTCGCCGGGGCGGGGCCGCTGGGGGGCGGGGCCGCTGGGGGGCGGGGCCGCGGCTCGGCTGTCCACGCCGGTCCGAGGGCGCCTCGGACGGGGTCCCTTCGTGGCTGGGTTTTTTGTTTTCTTTCTTTCTTTTTTTTTCCTTCCCGTTTCCTGTCACCGACCGTTTTCTCTTGAAGCTGTGAACAGCCCCTTGTGTGCCGGAGCAGCCGCCTTCACGGCCCGTCTACTGTGCAGTCGGCTCGCGCTCCCTGGGTCTCCGACCGCGTCCCACCCAGGAATGGGGGGGCGTCCTGGGAGCTGCTGGGCCGGGCCGGGGGCCCCCAGGCCGGCGGCTCATGGCTTCCCGGTGTCTCCCCTTGCAGGTGGTTCTTCTCGGCATGGACATCCTGTCCGCGCTGGTCACCCGGCTGCAGGATCGGTTCAAGGCGCAGATTGGCACAGGTGAGCTGCGGGCAGGTGCGGAGGGGCCCCGAGGTTCTCCACCGTGCAGCCCCGCCTTCACTCAGTCTCCCCCATACTCCGCCGGGCTGTATCCCAGCCAGCCCTACAGCCCGCCCGTAAGCCCCCCTTCCATTCTGCCCCTGCTGGGCTGCACCACCGCTCCTCCTCCCCGTCCTGGGGTCACCCAGACGCCCCGGCTTCAGGGCACCTGCTTTTGTTTTTACCAGGCCTTTCTGCTGGCTTCTGCCAACGTGTGTTCTCCTCCCCGGTACTACTGCTGACTCTTTTTTCTCTCTTTTTTCTTACCTAGATAGGTGTTACATTTTAGTGCCGACAAAATCACGTGTGCCCCCTTTTTTTTGATTTTTTATTTATGATAGAGAGAGAGAGAGAGAGAGAGAGAGAGAGGCAGAGACACAGGCAGAGGGAGAAGCAGGCTCCATGCACCGGGAGCCCGACGTGGGACTCGATCCTGGGTCTCCAGGATCGCGCCCTGGGCCAAAGGCAGGCGCCAAACGGCTGCGCCACCCAGGGATCCCACGTGTGCCCGTTTTGAGAGGCTTTGCTTTCCCACTTTGAGAAGGCCTGCATATCTGATGCAGCTGAGTTTTTTCCAGTTCATTATCCGAGGCATTATCTTTTTCACTTTGATCATAAATGTTGCTAAGTGTGCATGTTAAATGACCGCTCTTTATTTTGGAGGGAAAACAATATGTTAGCAAAATGAAATAAATAAGCAGGTTTCGTTTTATATATGATTTAGTCCTTTCTAAATTCCTGACCTCTGGGATTTCATGATGATAATACAAGCACCAATCAGCTCTGTTTGTACAAAGATTTCCTTAACAGAACTCAGTTTCGGTTGTTTGTTATTTTCTGTTACCTTCCTAATCAGCGTGCTCTTGTGGATAAGGTCAAGAACTCTTTTCCCATTCTGGCACTAACTGTCCATCTGTAAATAAAAACCTCCCTTACTTTTAGAAATTTGGTATTTTAATAGCATTCCATTTTCCTCATAAGTTAGCTGAATTGTTCATGATATCTCTTGTAAAGGAAAGGTCTGCATACACTTAGAAGAAGCAGAAAAGTAAGCTAACTTCCGGTACATCAGTGATCTTGGAGCCTTAGCCGATGGTCCACACTAGGTGGGGGGCTAGACTCCGTTTAATACACATGCATGTATACTCTAAAATTACAGACAGAAAGCGTAGATGAAAAAGAGATGCACTCATAAGTGCCTGTTCTTTCTATCAGCGAATATCCCTCTCTTAACTAAATTTCCTTTTGCATTGACTCCTTCTTACCAATGTCTTCCACTGACATCCATTTTAGTATTTCACCAGCTTAAAAATGTCCTGCGAGCTGGCTGGGCCTCTAGTCGGTTAAGGAAGAAAACAAGTAGTATATCCCCACAAAGGATTTTGCAGACTCTTATAGCAGCTCCCATAGATTTTAGTGAGGAGAATAGAACTGTGAGGAATGGTGGTTCTAGAATGGTGTACATCATTTAGTCTTCCCAGTAATTGAAATGCCAGTTGGTGACTGCACACCCCCCAAAATAGGCTTTCATTTGATCAATTTACATTTTGATTTTCAGTGCTGCCAAGTTTAATAGACAGACTGGGAGATGCTAAAGACTCTGTGCGAGAGCAAGACCAAACTCTGCTGCTGAAGATCATGGATCAAGCTGCTAATCCCCAGGTAGGGCAAGGAGGGGCTCCATGGCTTGCTGGCATCTGTTGTCTGGCCCGCATTGGGCTGTGCACTAATCGGGGAATCTGCTTGAGATTCTCTCTCCCTTTCTTTCCCCCACCCTAGCTCATACATGTGCATGCTCTCTCTCTCTGAAATTTAAGTAGAAAGATTTCACTACTTTTGCTTTTATTTACTTTGATTATTTACCTATTTATTTATATATGTTTTTAATTTAGAGAGCGTGTGCAAGCAGGAGGGCAGAGGGTCAAGGAGAGAGAGAATCTTAAGCAGTCTCCACACTTACTGGGGGCTTGAACTCATGACCCTGAGTCAAAATCAAGAGTAGAGCCCAGTGGCTCAGCAGTTTAGCACCGCCTTCAGCCTGGGGCATGATCCTGGAGACCTGGGATTGAGTCCCGCGTCAGTCTCCCTGCATGGAGCCTGCTTCTCCCTCTGCCTGTGTCTCTGCCCCTCCCTCTCTCTCTCTCTTTCTCTCTTTTTCTCTGTGTGTCTCTCATGAATAAATATAAAAAAAATCTTAAAAAAAAATCTAGAGTAGAATGCTTTAACTGGCTGAGCCACCCAAATGTCCCAAGATTTAATTTTTTAAAGCTGATGTGTTTCACATGAAAATCTCCGTAACATTTCATCTGTCTCTGCTATCCCCCCCACCCCCAGGATGTTATAAAAAGTAATAAATAGCAAAGGGTGTTGGCTAAAATAGCGGGTTTAACATGGGTATTGAGTGTTTGATTGAATGCATTAGATTCTTGAGCTCATTTGTGTAGGTGACTCATTTTCTCTGAAAAGAGGTGGTCGTGGTGTCTGGGGAGTCAGGAGGCCTGGCCCTCATTCCTATCTGTTAGTGAGCTGGGGCTGCTGGAACAGATGAACAGAGGGACGCAACCTGGCCTTCTAGGCTTCAACTGTACAATGTATAGGAGGTGGGGTAGGGTGGTAGAGGTTATTAGAAAAAGCCATCTAGGGAAGGTAAAACCTAGAATGTCTTAAAAGATGAGATGTGTGACTTGTGGATAGGGTGGGGACAGCTGTTTCTGACCAGGAGAGCAGTAGGAGTATGTGCTCTTTGGCAAGTCACCCAAACCTCTCTTGGCCTTACTTTCCTCATCCATGAAATGGAGACAATTACACCTTTCTTTCAGAGCTGTTGGGATAATTAAATGCAGTTATATAAAGGAATGTGTTTGGAAAAACTCTAACTTGATACAGAAATACAAGTTACCTATGGTTTCAGTATGCCCTTGAGGGGCTGAAATGGATTGATTGAAATTGGGGCTGACTTGGCACCCGTTGCAGTCCCTCTTCCATCAGCCTTATATTGAAATGAAAGCCTCCTCCTCTCCTCACCTGTCCTTTGTCATCTACAGTACGTGTGGGACCGAATGCTGGGAGGCTTCAAGCACAAGAATTTCCGGACTCGGGAAGGCACATGCCTCTGCCTTGTTGCCACACTCAATGCGTAAGTCTGGGTGGGGCCTGAGGGTTTCCTTTAGCTGAGCATTTTTATTTTTAATTTTGTGTTTTGAAGTAACTATGGATTTCAGGAAGTTGCAGAGAAATGTCCTGGGAAGTGCTATGTACTCCTGCCCCATGATTCTTTACTCTTAACATCTTACATGTCTGTAGTGCAATGCCAGTGCCAGGAAATCAATACTGATGCAATGCCCAGGGCTTATATAGATTCCTCTGGTGACACACACACACACATTGTGTATGCAGTTCTGCCCAGTTCTGTCTCACATGTAGCTCCAGGGAACCATCACCACTGGTGAGGCACAGGCCAGGCTCCCTCATGCCAATCATCCCCCCCCCCCCCACCACTGGTCTGTTCACCATCTCTATGATTTTGTTATTTCAAGAATGTTATATAGATGGGATCATTTATTCCTGTGTTTCTCATGGGCACGGACCCATTGCTGGGTCATCTGGTGGGTTTAATTTTAACGAAACTGCTTAATTGTTTTCCAGAGTCGTCTGTACTGTTTTTACATTCTCACCATTAGTGAATGGATGATTGGGTTTTTTCATATCCTTGTTCTGTTTTTTAGCCATTTTGATTGGTGCATAGTGAATATCTCATTGTGGTCTTCATTTATAATTTCCCATTGACTATTGATGTTGAATATTTCGTCACATGCTTATTTATAGGAAAGGCTTTTTAAAAATTGAAGTTACAAGTCACCTTTTCTGATTATAAAAGCGATATTGTATATGTCAGAAAATTTATATCAGGAGGAAGATCATGATTCGGTACATTTCTACCGCCTTCACAAAATCACTGTTAACTTGTAGTGCATATTTAGCTCAGCCTGTAAAGTTCAAAAACATCATTGGGATAATAATGGGTATGTCACCTTGTAAATTTTCCACTGATATGTTAGTTAGCCTTTCCAGCACCATTAAATTTGCCCACATTTGTATCTTTTTAAAAATGTTTCTAGTTTTTTTTTTTAAGATTTATTTATTTATTTGTGATAGACATGGAGAGAGAGAGAGAGAGAGAGAGAGAGAGAGAGAGGCAGAGACACAGGAGGAGGGAGAAGCAGGCTCCATGCAGGGAGCCCGATGCGGGACTCGATCCCGGGACCCCAGGATCGCGCCCTGGGCCAAAGGCAGGTGCCAAACCGCTGAGCCATCCAGGGATCCCTGTTTCTAGTTTTTGATCACAGTGCTTTCACTTCTGAGAATGTATCCTAAGGAAGCCTTCATATTACCAGAGGGAGTTGTGTTTACAAGGGCTGTGTGTGGTAGTGTTTATGACAGTGAATAGTGGTCAGCGACTTCAGTGCTGTCCAGCAGGGCAGGGTTAGCTGGAACTCTCTGCGGCTACTGTGTCAGGGTCCTTCCCCTGAACAGCTGTTCATTGAACATCAGCTGTGCACAGGAGGGGAGTTAAGGGAGGAGGGCCCTCAAGGGACTCGCAGTTTAGTTGAGAGCACAGAGTTGGGCAAAATAGGAATAGCTGTTTGACAGAATAATAATGCAGAGGCAGCCATGTGTGAGGCAGGCAAGACTGTGGGAGAGGCTGAGGCCTTGGCTTGCCATTGTAAGTTAGGAGCCAGAATGGGGCAAGCGTCGAGTGCTAGGGAGAGCACACTACTGTGGGCGACATGAAAAGTTTTAAACTCTGTGCAAAGGGCAAACTTTGTGGTGAGGTTTGGAACCAGATGGGCAGAAGATGGGAAGAAAGAAGAGCTGAGGTGTGAGGGGTGATTAGGCCTCGGGTGGGGGGGGCGGTGAGAGGGAGGGGAGCCGTGTTTCTTTTCGTGGTTCTCACCAGCAGTAAAACACTCCTTTTGTTTTCAGCTCTGGAGCGCATACTTTAACACTAAGCAAGATTGTGCCACATATATGTAACTTACTTGGAGATCCAAACAGCCAGGTGAGTGTATTTTAATGAGAAAGAATGATATTGGTTATAGACCATTAAAACGCATTCTGGTGTTCTATGTATACCTGATAGGTGGGTGGGACTTTATTCATGTTTCTAACACTGATTATTGTTCCAGATAATTAACATTAATGCCTTTTAGCATTTATAAGATACCATTGAGGAGTGTGGTGGTCACTCTGTTCTGTTCTCTATGTGGCTGAGGCCTCACTAACCTATTAAGTAATGTTATCCAGACCAGCTTCCAAGATCCTGCCCTTCTGGTCACTCACTCTGCAGCCCAAAGTGGGTGGCCCTGGGGAAGAGTGATCAACGCTGATTGAAGTCAGTTAGGGATTACCTCTTGGGGTAGGAGGATTGATTGGAAGGGGCCTATTCTCCTCCTATTCTGAGGAGATGGCAGCTTCCAGTATTTTGTTTGGGTGGTGGCCACACTGGTGTATTTAACACTGGCACATGAAATTCCTCAAACCCTAATGAAGTGTGGATGGTATTTTATGTAGATCTTATGTAAATTCAGAGACCAAACACCAAAGCACCACTTCTTTAGTGTAGGAATAGAGAAGCTGGTAATCCTTGGACCGTCACCAGGCAGGTCACAGAACTTTCCAAGCCTGGGCTTCAGAACTGCCAGTTCTCCCAAGGATTCAGTTCTGTTTATCACTGAGAGTCATTTTTGTTATATTAATGAGCTCCTACGAACTCATAATGAGAATACCTCATTAGATAAAGGGGCTGAAAATCAGAACAGTAACTTACCAGAGAAATGTACTTGGTAAGAGGGCATCTGATTTTAAACCTTGCCCAATGATTGCTAACGTGCCCCAGAGAGGTTGTGCCAGCTTGCCCTTCCGCCTTCCCTGGCTCCTGGGTCCCTGTGGCTCTGGGCCCTGCCAGCTCTTGTCCTTCCTGCTTCCTCGGCTTTGCCCTTGCTTACCTTGTCTCTGTTCCTGCCTTTCCCGTCCCTGTCCCCTCTTCTGTGCTCTGCCCGTGGGTTCTCTGGGTCTCTCTTGCTTGCACCTGTTTTCCTCTTGCCACCCACTCGTTTAACCAGTCTTCATTGACACTGGAAGTAAAATTTCCAAATGTTTTAATTTATTGAATCATACTTTATGTTTGTGTTAATTTAAAAAGAAACTTAAAAAAATTCTAAGTCATCAAATGGGTTATTACGTGTTTTCTCCCAATTTGGCTTTGTTTCTGTTTTTTGTTTTCTATGTTTTTTGTTTCTTCAATCCTTTATTGAAGTTACACTTTGTGGTGATTGCTGCCATCCCGTGGTATCTTTAAGCAGAAGAGGCAGCCTGGCTAGCTGAAGTTCCCTGTTCTTAACTCAGGTGCTGTCACTGGCCATATGGGTGACATGAATCTGCATGGTGGGCCTCTGGGACACGGAGCAATTGGGGCAAAATGAGGTTGGTGTTCAGTGGGCAGCTTTTGGCAGTCTGTCACAGAGCCGAAATACTCCAAACTCTGCACTTGGACAGTCATCTGTTGATTTGCGGCTGCCTTAGGAATGTTTATCTGCACACATACACGCACACACATGCACAGTCCGCATCTCCTAGAACCCTCCTGCCAGGAAACTTTACCACCAGCTTCTCTGCTACTGATGCACTTAACTATTCCTCTTCTTGGGGTGTGTATATATGTTGCATGTGCCTGTGCTGTTGCCTCTATTTTAATCTTTTCATCCGTCTTTCCTACTGTGGGCCCCAGCAGGTGGCTAGCCTCCTCTGTATCCCAGTAAACAGTGATCTTGTGAAGGAGATCATAGGTCTGAAGACCTCAGATTCTGTAAAGCATTCAGCTCGGGCCTGCTGGGCAGGGCTTAAAGTATTGGGGCTCTTTTGTAGTCCCAGTGGCCTGAAATGTTGGGGTTCCTTTTTTATGGTGAGCCCGAGGGTGGGCAGAAGCAGTGTAGGGCCCATGTGGTTGTATTAAAAGTGAGCACTATGTTGTGCCTTCTGTCTGAGTGGCTTTTACAGAACTTCCCTTCTCAATCGGAATGTGTTACTTCGTAACACTGAAGAAAATGCGTTCTGCTCTATTTCCTGACTTGACCCTCAAATGTTGTCTGACCCCATACCTTTTGTAAGCCTGAGGAATGAGGATTTTAAGGGCTGAGGATATTGGTTTGGAAGATGTGGATATACGACTTCCATTAGCCATCATGTTGAGTGTTTTAAACACACAGGCTAGAGGCCCCTAAACTGCCGGCCTGAAATCTGATTCAGCCTGCAGACTGGAGTATGTGTCCACACAATGTTTTAGTTTCACATTTTGGAGTTTTGGTGTTCTTATATTTGGGAGATCTGTATTTGATTTCTCTCGAAAGATTGGAAGCTGTGGCAGAGCCGTACCTGTATTCTTCCAAGGCTGGGTGATGGTGGCCTGTTTGCCTGACCCTCCCATTTTCCCTCTTCTCTCTGGCAGCAGGGTCCCCTGCCAGAGCCATTTGTCATTGTATACCCACCTGGCTCCACTCATGTATCATGTCCCCTGCCTGGGCCATGTAGGCACTTTGGTTTGGCATCTCGTAAGTACTCAGATATTTGTTGAATGAATTATTTGTTGAATGAGTTATTTTTTTCTAGTCCTCAAAGCAGCCTGCAGCCTTCTTCAGCTCACAGAGAAAATTGAGGCTAAAATAGTTGATGTCTTTTATTCAGGGTTACACAGTTCCTAAATGGCCAGGTGAGTGCTCAGGTCTACTTTGACTCTAAGGCTGGTCGTTATTCCACTAGATGTCTTAAACTCCTAACAGTCTAGACTTTCTGTATAGGACAGGTTGTTGCTTGCTTATTAAGCCAAGGGGCTCTGAGCAGATATCATTTGAAAGTGAGCCAAGTGATGCACTTAGTACTGCTCTTCAAGACACAGTGGCATTAACAACTTGGGTAGTATATACACGTTTCCATATAAAAATGGTGCCTAACATCAGAAGGTACTTCTTTTCCCAAATAAACTGGAAATCTGTATTAGTTGGCTTGGGCCGCCGTAACAAAATACTGCAGGTGGCCTAAACAAGAAAGCTATTATTTCTCACAGTTCTGAAGCCTGGTAGTTCGAGATTAGGGTGCCAGCATCATCTGGTTCTGGAAGGATGCAGACGGTTCCCTCACTTTGTGCTCACATGACCCCACTGTACACATGTGGAGAATGCAGCTAGCTCATAGGTGTCTTTTCTTACAAAGACACCAGTCCTGTTGTATTAGGGCCCTATTCTTATGACTTCATTTAACCTTAATTACCTTCTAGGTACAATCATGCTGGGGGTTAGGACTTCAACGTATGGGGGGGCAGGGGATGTAAACATTCAGTCTGTAACATGACAGTTTGCCCTTTACCACCATCAGGGGAAAAATGATCAGTGGAGTTACCTGTCCTATAATGCTCTTAAATCAAGAGTAGCCTGCAGTGTTGAGAATTGTAAATTGTTTGTATCCCTACTTCCTGCCTCTGTCTTTTGTTCTCTGTTATTTTGGTTTCATTGCTTGAGACCAAATACAAAATTGTGTTGCTCCCCTGTCTTTGCCTACTGGAGTAAGCCCACATCTCCCCTCCTCCCCAGCCCTCACAGGCTGGCCTGGGTTCCAGGGTATGCTAAAAGTGCCCCAGCCCCATGTTTTTATTTGCAAAAATTCAAATCTAAAGAAAAATTGTAGGACTAGTATTAACATCTGTATTTACCAGTTAACATTTGTTTTATCTCTCCCTGTATGTATACACACCCACAGAAATACACTCTTTTTTTCTGAACCATGATATTTTTGCTCTGAGATACTTAAGTGCATGTCTCTCAGTAACAAGGATATGTTCTTATATAACCACATGCTATTTTCACATCCAAGAAATTTAACCTTGATAACAGTGATAATATTTGATGTACAATCCAATTCAAATTACCCTGTTTTTGTTTGTTTTCAGTGTCTTCTGTTTCTTAAGCCTTATTTATTGCTGCTTTCTTAACTTTGTTCATATTTGTGTTGGGCCAGCTACTTACTTGCTCTTCCTGAAGTACATGCCATGCATCTCTGCTTTCATGCCTTTGCACACAGGCTGTCCCTTGTTTGGAACCTGTCTCGTTCCATCTTTACCTGGTAAAATGCTGTCCCCTAAGCACAGTTTAAGTGGTTCCTTCTTCAAGAAAATGTTCCTTGTTATCATCCAGTCTTCTTGCTCCACTCCCTAAACTGTGCGAACACTTTATACTCTTGTATGATGTTTACTACATCCTGTTCTGTATTAAATGTAGAATTTATGGATTTTTGCCCCACCCCACCCCCATCTCCTTTTAGCTCTTGTATACAGGGCTCTATGAATTATGGCCTTTACTACCTAGTTTTGTTGCTAAGTATTTGTTTTACTGAATTAAATCTACTCTGCTTTTTATATGGTGTTTGGTTTTTAGTATAATTCATTTATTTGTAGTATTTTCCATTTTGGGAAGATTATCCGATTCCTGACATCAAATGAAAGAATTGAAAGAGCTAAGGGATGTGAACTTCAACATGTTTACAGGGATGGGACCCAAATATTCTTTGGAATTGTACCAACAACATGGCTCTGTCTAGTCAAACGTCTGTAAGGGATTGTATCACAATTGCATTGATAGATTGGTAATAAACTTGGGGTGGTGTATAGCCTGTTGTGTCCCAGCAGGAAGTGCTGTGGATTGACACAGAGCAGCTGTAAGATCTCTTCTTTTACATCTAGGTTCGAGATGCAGCAATAAACAGCTTAGTGGAAATTTACAGACATGTAGGAGAACGTGTGAGGGCAGATCTCAGTAAAAAAGGATTGCCACAATCCCGGTGAGTTCAGACTTTTTTTCCTTTCTTCTGGTCTTCTTCCCCTCTTCTTTTTTCAGTTAATGTCTTGCTTAATTTGTTGTGATTATATTCAAAGAATATGTGGTTAGAGGATTGGTGGTTGGAGATCTTGTCCAGATAATATGTTGGGGGCCCCTCCCATTCTACTTCCTCAAAAGAAGTACTGTCACTCAGACATCTAGCCACATCTCATGTCATGTTTTGATTTTAGAAGCATATTTAAAGTTAACTTTGAAAAATTCAGCCTTCTTTTGGTTCATATATTTCTATATCTTGGTTGCACACAATGCCTAGTATAGTAGGTGCCTAGAATATATTTGTTTGCATTAATGAAGCCCTTCCACAATGTGTCTGGATAAATAAAGAAATAATTCTGGAAAGCATCTTGGAAATGGTAGTTTTCTGTTAGTCTCAATATGTAGAGGCCAGTTGTAAGGGTATCAGCATCTCAGCAGATCCAAGACCACATGAGTCCACAGATGTCTCTGTTGTAGTTAACATTTAAAAAAATAATGAACTAGACATCTTTAATTTTAACTACAACGGAGAAATTTTAAACCGTTTGTGCTTGCCCTGTTCCTTTAAGGGAGGGAGTAATATGCAAGTCCTGGGAAGCTGGACATGGCCTGGGCTTCTGGAGCAGCTAGTGTGAGCCTGTCACTGTGTCCCTGGAGATAGCAGAGCCCAGAGACATGAAGTGACTTGGGAGAGCACATAGCACGAGTCAGAGCTCAGAGGGAAGCCCTGTTCTGACTTTCCTTTTAATTTTCTCTATCCTATTTTGTAAGAGTTTATAAAGTATTAGGATGTGGGTTGGCATTTTGAAATATACAGGAATCCTCTGTCTTAATGTCCCTTAATGGGATATGATGAAAGAGAGCGCCCCTTACCCTAAAGTAGGGGTTCTATGCACAGTCAAGTGGGGCTATACTCTGTGTTGCTGAGAGTCCTATCTGACCCCAGGGTTGCTCTCACGGTGCCCCTGAGCTGCGTGCAACATAATTAGATGGGAATAAAAGTATTTTCATGTTTTTTTATAACAGATAATCTGTGAGAATAGACTTATTTTGTTTCCGCATTTTATGAACCTCAGCTTTCTGGTCTTTGAGTTTATGGGAGAATACTTAGGAGAAAGATGAACTTAAAGACAAAAGCATTACACGGTGTGCTAGAGAAAATTGGAGGGCCCAGGTGAGCAGGGAGAGCAGGGCTGGAGGGAAAGGGCTGTTTACTCATGACGTCAGCATCATCACTGGGAAGACCTTTCCTACTCCAGGGATGGCCTCAGTGGACTGCGTAACTCGCAGTGGCTCTAGGCCATGAGCAGACCATCTCATGGTGGGACTTCCGCATCCTGTCCGAAAGCTGCTGTAGCAAGCCTATAGGTCTGGGAGGTGATAGGTGACACTGAGATCTAGAGAGGTGAGTGCACAGAGACTGCTATCCTTGGGGAGGCTGGCTTGCAAGGCTTGCTCTGGGCTGGTGGCTGGAAGCTTTGATTTGGGGGCTTCCCACCATTCCTGAAGAATGGGCAAGAGTGGCTCCCTGTATCCCAGCAGTGGGTGTCATGCTGAGCACCTGATTTCCTTCTGGGAGTCTGGCATTTTGTCAGGTGCTACCCCAGGAGATGTCTGCATGACCAGCCACAGCAGAGCTCCAGTTGCTGGGGATGTTAAGCATGTTCTGTGACTCCACTCCACTGGGAGAGGCTCTAGGAAGCTTGCGCTTGGTTTCCTGCAGACTTTACTCCACGTACCTTCTCCCTTTGCTGGTTTCTCAGAGTGCCTTAAAGTAGGATAGTGATAGCTGTGAGTGTGAATGTATGTCAAGCTCTCAGTCCTCCCAGCTGGTCATTAAACCCAGGTGTGGGCGTGGAGACCCCAACACAGAGGGTAATTTGGGTAAGGCTCCCAGGGGCACTTAATGCCAGCCAGAGCTAGGACTAGCACTTTCTCATCCAGACTCCCATCACTCTCCTGTTTTTTGTTAAGTATTGAAAAGAAACTATCGAAGAGTTTGGGCCTCTGTGAATGGGAATGAAGGCTTCTGATATCTCATGCTTCCTAAAATTTGCAGACTACACGGAGAGGGTCATCTAGGGAAATGTGCCAACATCCTTCACTGCTGTCAGTGTAAACTGTGGTAGACGGGGCAGCCGGTGGCTCAGCGGTTTAGCGCCACCTTCAGCCCAGGACATGATCCTGGAGACCTGGGATCGAGTCCCGCATTGGGCTAGCTGCATGGAGCCTGCTTCTCCCTCTGCCTGTGTCTCTGCCTCTCTCTCTCTATCTCTCTCTCTCTCTCTCTCTCATTAATAAATACATAAAATCTTAAAAAAAAAAACCAACAATACCTGTGGTAGACAGGGTTCCTGGAGAAGGAGGCTGTTGGTACTTCAAAGGCATTACTCTGGTGAAAGAAGCCAAAACTTCCTATTTCTTTGTATTTATTACAAGACACTTACCCAGCACTGGGAGGGTCAGAGGCCCTGGCTGCCACCTTTATTTTGATTTTGCCAGGGACATGTGCAAATGGAATGAGACTTTCAAAAGTTCTGCTGTTGTTTGGAAAATTTATTGTCTGGTATTTGTGGCTCCAAATGGCTGGTGGGAATACTTGAACATTCTAGACTTCTGTTATGTCATTTTTATATATATCTATTTTGCTGTTGCATGAGATCATACATTTTTAGCTGAACAAGATGCCACAGGACTAATAAAGTATTGCAGGATATGCATGGTGCTTCCTGGAACTTGGATTTCATCAAAAATAAAAATGTTGCCCCCTTAAGAGTTTGTCCATTGACTGAGTGCTGTATTTGAGAAGATTAATTATATTTGTAAGAAAGATGTGATGAAAAAATGCCTTGATATAATATCAGTTAAGTGATATAAAAGTTAAGATCAATAATGTGCTTTGAGGTGCAGTTCCTTTTTCCATTTCAGAGTTGGGAAGAGACTTGTTCTTTCACTTTGGAGGAGCTGGAATTTTGCTTTTGGGCCATGCATCTGGTTATTTGAGTCTTGTCTATCTGCTGGCTAAAATCTTTTTTTTTTTTTTTTAAAGATCTTATTTATTTGAGAGAGGGAGAGTTGGGAGAGGGGCAGAGGGACAAGCAGACAGCAGGGGAGCCTAACATGCTGGGCTTGATCCCTGGACCCTCAGATCATGACCGAATTGAAATCAGTTGCTTAACTGACTGAGCCACCCAGGTTCTCCTCATTTAGAATGTCAAAGCCAGCGCCCCACTGTGTTCTAGCTTTTAGTGTTTCTACTGAGAATTGCAAAGCCATTCTGATTCTTCAACCTCTGTGGATAACTTTGATTTTCTTTGTCCCCAAAGTTTGTTTGAAACTTTATGATGATGGGTCTTATATGAGACTATTTTCATTTTTTGTGTGGTGCACTTGGAGGGCTTTTCCATCTGGAACCTCATATCTTCTGGGCAAGTTTCCTTAAGAATATAACTATTATGTTTATAATTATAAGTAGTTCATAAATAAAACTAGTACATAAGTATAAGTTTTATATCTATATACTGCTTATATTAATAAGTATAATAGTTCTGACCACTTGGACCAATCCCTCTGATTTTATTTTTTCTTTCCTATTTCTATCTTTATATTTTTGTTCTGGCTTCTGGGGAGATTTTCTCAAATTTATCTTCCAACCATTGTATTGGGTGTGTGATTTAAAATTTTTTCTCTTTTGGGAACACCTGGGTGGCTCAATGGCTGAGCATCTGTCTTTGGCTCAGGGCATGATACTGGGGTCCTAGGATCGAGTCCTGCATCACGTTCCCCACAGGGAACCTGCTTCTCTCTCTGTGTCTCTTGCCTCTCTCTCTCTGTGTCTCTCATGAATAAATAAATCTTAAAATATTTTTTTTCCTTTTTTGTTCTAATGGTATGGTCCCTTTTTATACCATTGTTTCTGTTTTTAAAATAAGAGTCTTTTTGAAATATTCCTATACAATAATTATGTTTATCATATTTTTATAATTTATCATATCCCCTTTAAAGTGAAGAGTTTTTAGTATATTCCGAAAGTTGTGTATCCATCATTGTTACCAAGTTTTAGAAATTTGAAAAGAATCCCTGTATCCATCAGTAGTCGTTCTCTTCTTCCTTTCTTCTACTTAGCCCCTGGGAATGACTAGTCCACTTTTTATTTTATGGATTTGACTGTTTTGGGACATTTCATGCAAATCACATAAAATGTAACTTCCTCCCTCCTCCCCTCCCTCTCTCTCTCTTTCTTTCTCTCTCTCTTCCTTTCCTTTCCTTTCCTTTCCTTTCCTTTCCTTTCCTTTCCTTTCCTTTCCTTTCCTTTCTTTTCTTTTCTTTTCTTTTCTTTCTTTTCTTTCTTTTCTCTTTTGTTTGACAGAGCACAAGCAGGGGCATTGGCAGGGAGAGGGAGAAGCAGACTGTGGGGGGACTCAATCCCAGGACCTGGGATCATGACCTGACCCAAAGGCAGATGCTTAACCAACTGAGCCACCCAGGCACCCAGAATATAACTTTTTCTTGATTGCCTTCTTTCAGTTACCACAGAATTTTCAAAATTCAACCATGTTATACCATGAGTCATTCTTTTGTATTGCTGAATAAAATTCCACTGTATATACCATATTTTGTTTATCCATTCCTCTGTTGATGGACACTTGCTTCCACTTTTTGGCTATGTAAATAATGTTGCTGTGAAAATGGATATATAGATCTCTCTTATATTCCCTACATTCAATTCTTTTGGGTAGATTCCAGAAGTGGTTTTGCTGGATCATACACTGTTATGTTTAATTTTTTGAGGAACCACCATACTGCTTTCTGTAGCTGTTGTACTATTTTGCATTCCTACCAGGAGTGCCAACAGTTGTTATTTTGTGTTTTTGTATTGTTTTGTTTTATTTTTTGGTAGTAGGCATCCTAATGGGTATCTCATTGTAGTTTCTAGAAATTTTATGTACTTTTGTTGAAAATCAT